CATACGAGAGTGCTCGCACTGAGGTCGAGTCCTCGGAACCTTCTTTTAAGTCTTTCTACTCCGGAGCATATCATCCGATCGTGGAATGGCGTGCGACAGGCGAGCAGAAAGAGGCCAGGAGAGGAGCGGTCTGTCTTGATTCGTGAAGTGGTCGAAGGAGCGGAAATGATCAGAACCCTTGCTGTGTCGAGCCTGGGAGTTTCATGCGCAAAGAGCGTGGGATGCACAACGAGCGACAAGATCGGCACCGCAGCAGCGAAAGTCGGGGCGAAGTGATGCCATCAAGTATTCGACTGCAATAATGCAGCGTTCGATGGCGCCGGGTACTGTTCGCCGTTGACCCCGCAGCTCTCAACATCCTCACGGTGCAGATTCTGCTGGTGCTGCGGTTGCACAGAAACCCAGGGACATGTTCCGACACTGGGGCTGTTTCCTCGCTGCAAGCATGTCTCTTGGCTAAAATAAACGCTAAATACTCTTGGTTAAGGCCAGGGGCACTGGCGAATAACGACGACAGCTGCGGGACGTCATTGGTTTGTCTCACCATTTGCCCCTGACACTCTTCGTGTGCATGGTCACACCCTCGCTCGTGCCGTCGCCGCTTAGGCCATTTGGGAGATGCCCAAGCCCACCCGATGGCTGCCCTTGCACGACCGTGAGCGCGAACGGACCCTCTCAGCGGCCGGTTGGACGTCTCCCTCTCGCTCAGGCTCACCTGTCTCTCCCCAGCTTCAGCCTCCGTGTGCCTGAACAGCCTCACCTAGACGGCTTTCCATCTCGACTCCCGCACACCGCTGAGCTGTGCTGCCTCTCATTTCGCCCTACCCTTCGTATACCTCTTCGCCTCTTTGAGAGAGGGTTGCCCCGTCGCTCCCTTTGCACTAGTCGGATCAATCCACCGTCGTCCTTCGCCAGATCGAACATACTGTCGCGCTCGGTCTCGACATCTGTCTTGGATTCGAGTACGTTCGACACGACCGTTACTTGCTGGACCATACTGACGCTTTGTCGCACTACAGACGATTACGATTGTCTTTACGAGCCAATTGTATCCTTCAGTCGTCGCATTCGCCTTCCCGACGCGCGGTCGACCAACCTCCATCTTCGGACAACTAATAATCCTTGGACCTTACACCTAGTCATGCGAAGTCGAGTGGAATTATAATCAGTCTATTGCTTTACGTCTCAAGTCGAGGATAAACTCACATCACGTTCGCTATTCTTACCGGATCTAACACACGATCCACATCACCATGGCTCTCCCAAAGCCCGTATACCCGCTGAGTGAGCACTGCTCAATCATCTACGAGAACACGCTTTACGTATATTCGCCATCTGGATTCCAATCGCTAAAGCTTGAAGAGGGGGCAGAATGGAAGGCGCTGCCTATGGACATATCGCTTACCGGAGCGCAATGCGTGAAGGCAGTGCCCAAGGGGGATGCCGCAGCTGCTAAGCTGTTCATTGTTGGAGGACGCGTCAACGAGACCGCTTCGACGTGGAACTATCCCGGACTGATGCACTACACATTCTCCAAGAAGAAGTGGGACTGGCAACGGTCTGAGAGCTGGAACACACAGAATCGCGTCAACCATGACGCTGTCTACCTTCAAGACTCACAGAAGATCCTCGTCTACGCAGGGTCGCAGACAGAGGGGGACAACGGCCCATCGTCGGAATCCTTCCTAATGTCCACTGTCGAGCCCTACTCGGTATCGAGTATGCCGCCGTCCGGCGCGCCACTCTCCGTGAAGCCCATGCTGATGAACTCGGACGCCAACTCTGCGATATTAGTCGGTGGTGGCGCTACCAACACTGCAGTATGGAAGTTCAGCGAAGCATCAGGATGGAAAGATCTCGGCGTCAGCCTTGAACAACCGATCGTTAACGCCGATGCTGTCAAATGCTCAATAGTCTCCAACAAGGACGGAAGGATCGCTCTAGAGAAGTTCGACATGAGCGTAACACCAAATGCCGTGGAACGAATCCTCCTCGTGAACAAGGACGGATCGCCCGCAGCCCCGGGAACTCTTGCCGGTGGGGACAAGGTGAAGCGAGTAGTCATTGATGACTGGTCAAAGTACAACGACACACTCGCACCGACAGTTACACGGAACGGTTACTCGTTGGCACAAGGCGAGGATGGCACCACCGTTGCAAGTGGAGGCAATCCCGATGAGCCTATTGCTGTCTTCGATGCGAAGGAGAACGCATGGATGAACGCGACAGCGCTGTTCTCTGGACAAGAGATCCTAGTGAACTCGATATCATCTTCAAGCGCATCATCGACACCGACCGCGACTGCATCCGTATCAGCGACGCCCAGCGCCAGCACCACAGAAGCAGTCGGCCCACCACCAGCTCCCCCTAGCAATAAGGGAAAGATGTTGACTGTACTTGGCGCTACGCTCGGTACGATTTTCGGTATCGCTGCTATCCTGATTCTCATTCTGTTCTGTCTCAAGTACAGGAAGAACAAGAGCAAGCAGAACCCAGGTTACATCGAGAAGAACGACCGCATGAGTTTTGCCGACCGCGGCGCTGCTTTCATGAAGGAGGCAGGTGGAGCTGTCGTGACTTACCAGCCAAAACACAACAACGACTCTGTTACATCGCTTGCCATTATCCAAGGACGTGGTAGCAACAACGGCCACAAGAAGAATGTTGCGAGCGACGCCAGCACAGCGGGACTTGTGAAGAAGAGCAGTCCGCTTGGCTACTCCGAAGGCTACAACGAGCCCTACGAGCTTGCCAAGTTTGACCTCAAGCCGGAGCCTGTCGAGCCCATGGTTCGTCAGAACTCCAGTCGGAACAAGCCTGCACCAAGAGCACGTAGCTCAGGGTGGAGTCGGTACTTCGCCAACAACGAAGCTACAAACCTCGCAAGTGCACCACCTGCTGACCGTTCTACTTTCGCGTCAGACCGAACAAGTACCGCCAGCCAGTCACAATACACCAACTCGCGCATGTACAGCTCGCGTCCATCACAACATATCGCTCCATTAGAGATCCCCAAGTTCAACGACGGGCAGCGTCTAAGCCGAGTTGCCAGTGGAAGTCCAACGCTTGGAACCCCCAACAGTGTCATTCCACATGGTGTTCAGCCCATGCAAGCAGAGCTTGCTCGCGCCAACTCAAATGCCAGCACAGTATCTGCTCTCAGTCACGACGGTGATCACTATCTACGCCACCCCGTAGAAAGCTGGACTCCAGTGGGCGATGACCGACGGACGAGCAGTCAGTACACTGGTAGCATGGTCATTGACTCTAACAAGTACGATGGCGCTAGCTCGTATTACCCCGACGGCACCGATTCGTTCTACCCCAAGAGCAACTTCTCCTCCTTCTACCCAGGCCAAGGCGACAACCCCTCCACCGTTCCTGACATGCGAGACAGCACGTTCACCATGTTCCCATCAGGCAACGCACCACCCGCACCCACAGAGGAGATGCCCAAGAGCAAGTTCAGCTCGATGTACCCCGTGCCACCGCGTCTCGGTCTCCCACAAGATCGCGAGAGCACAGCGACAGTGTTCCCAGGTGGTCCCGGTGGTGCACAAGGAGGCAAGGCTGAGGCGGCGCTACCAAGCCCCAAGTTCAACTCCTTCTACCCACCACCCAAAGTCGGACACGAGAGCTCAGCAACCCTCTTCCCCGGCCCGGGTCCCAACCAAAGCAACGGAAAGGAGCAATCAGACATGTCATGGCTGAACCTCGGGCAAAGCAGATAAAAGCCCTCGAGTTTGAACTTAGCCTTGTCACGCCTATAATGAGCCCATGCTCCCACCCGTCTCTACCTCGACCATACACATCACCTCCATCCTCTCTCTCTCGAAAAGCAGCATCACTTAGCGAACGCATCATCACCACCCTGTACAGCAGATCTTTCTTTCTCGAGCATAGCATTCATCAGCGCCGGGCGTCTCTTTCCAAATCCCCCCTTGTTCACCAAACGCTAGCCGCGAAAAGCCGATGTCAGCTTTTGGCATTCAGTCGCTACAGATACCCGACGCCAACCTCCTCACAGCGCGTCAACCCATCTTACCTCCCAACAAACACCTTACCTCGACCACCACCACCACCTACCTACCTCCACTCTCTCCTCTCGAAACGAAGGAGTCTCAGTTGTAAATAGAACGCCACCTTCTTACCCCACACTCCAAACCCACCACTTTCTTTTCTCATACACTCTTTTCTTTTCCCACCAAACCATGTTTCCCCATATCTCTTTTTTTCCACATCCTTTTCAACTTGGTCTGTGTCCAAATGTATCTTTGGAAATCGCAGTATCTTGTTGATGATCGTCATTGTTGTTGTTGTTGTCTCAGATCTACGGGTCTGGATATGTTTTTGCTTTTTTTGAAATGGCGTCGTCGTGCAAGATGGTTGGAAAGATCTCCTTGTATGTAGCTCGCTTGTCGAGTGGGGAAGTTGGGAGGGAGAGAGGGAAGAAGGACGTTGGACTGGCTTGACCCTGGATGTGCTGGGTTGCTGGTGCGAGGGACGCGTCTATTGTTGACGTGGTGGCTGAAATGGTGGATTGGATCGGACGTTAATACTTTAATGAAAGAAGCGAGTGTCGTACCAAATCATTTCGTCTGCCTGTGATGATTGCATTTGTGAAGGAAATGTGTTGATGCTTAAACTCTATTCTAAGTGAGTTGTCTGGTTCCAGTGGCCAAGTGTACAGCCAGCTTGCATGGTAAGCCCATCCAACACCGTTCGCCTTGGACCTTCACATGCACATGTACACGAGACGCAAACTGGCTGCCATGTCTTAATCATTACATCTTGACCAAGCATCAACAACAAGTATTCGTAGAGAAGAGCGTGTGAGATCGCATCGTTGAGATATCGCCCGAGAGACGAGAGATATCTCAACGATGCGATCTCACACACCCTTCTCTACGAACACCTTCCCATGTCCAAAGTCTAAAAGTCTATCGTCGCACAAACCACCAACCTTCCCATCTCATATAACGCCTCCAAAACACACCCCTCTAATTAACAACCCTCTTCATCTGCGCCGCCTGCCTCGGCTCAATAAACAGCGCCTCCGCCTCCGTCAACACAACACCCTCCTTCTCCCCACTCCCCAGCGTCATCAACCGTCCCTTGACCCACGCCTTCCTGCCCTCAACCTTTGTCGTCTCCGCCCTTAACACAACAATCTGCCCCGCCATACACGGTGCCTTGTAATCGATCTTCAAACTCGCCGTCACACCCACTTTGTTCGGCAGCGCGGGGAAGCAGCATCGTGCTAGTCCTTCGTCGAGGAGTGTGGCTAGCAGACCGCCGTGGACGATACCGGGGTGGCCGCACAGCGCTTCACCCAGGTATTGCAAAGATACGAATTCAGAGCCGTCGGCTGTGCTGAATTGAATCGGGGGAACGGCGATTTTGTCTGGCCCGAGGAGTGTGCCTCCTGTCAGGTTCTGTGCCCTCAGTCCCTCCGGTATCTTGAGATGCGGCCGCGAAGCAATGTATTTGGGGTCCGCCAATAACGACTTTGTGAGGGGATGCTCGAATATGCTTCGTTCTATCTCGGCAATGGCTTCTGTGCTGGGCGTGAAGAGTTCGAGGGTTTCGGCGTCGGTGGGCGGGTTCGCGAGGTCTTGGAGGGAGGCCATGGCGGGGAAACCGGCGATTACGAAACCGCTGGTGAGGGTGAGGAGGGTGAGAGCGAGGGCGATGGGGAGGCGGATGTAAATTGGTCGTTTGGGGGGTTGGGAGGAGGAATTGGGTGGTGGCGGAGGCGGTGATGTGTGTTGTGCGGTTTGCGATTGTTCTGCTGCGATCGAAGTGTTAGTTTACTAAATTCTTCTTTCTCGAGTCTTCCATAGCGATAGGACATAGAAGTCTAATCCAGACGGGAATTGGAACAAACTTACAAACACTACTCGTCCACCTAACAATCCGTATCCTATCTTCCAACCCACCCCCAGCAGGCCCTCTCCGTCCTTTTATACAACCCGGGCGGACTTCGCGCAGCGGGGCCAATGCTCTGTATGCCCCGAAACCTAACACTCTGCTGCGACCCACATGCCCAGATAAGGCAGACCTTGCGGATATCATACTTACGTAGTCAGCGCCTAGAATCTCGCGGCAGAGACTTTTTTTTCTGGCTAGACTAGAGGGTAAGTCGGCGGTGAGCACGGTTTGGTAGTACAGTCGGAGGTTCCGCGCATGCGCGCGCGTTCGGTCCCTGAGCTCGGACGCTCTGCGGAATAGGAAGTGCCGAGGTTCAGAGGGTGGGATGTTGTTGGCTGCGAGGGCGAGGGAAATTTGGGACAATGGTCGCCAAGATGGTGACTATTCATGGGTCTTGTCATGGAGTGTGTTTGCATCTCTTGGTGCGTACTTCGGCCGATGGTGATGAATTAGCTTATGGCGTAGGTGCCCCTTTAAGTTGAACGGGTTGTCGTCGATGCCCGCCCATGTATACTGTCGACTCAAGGAAACCTCGCAGTCTGCATTAGGAACTGTACATCACGATGAAAATAGCTCGAGACGAAGCTGCATGTGTGAATTGAGATTTTATTATCTCAGTTCTGTCCTTGAAAACTTGTTCCACTTGCTTTACACGTGGTATTTCCACTCCACCAATCCATCAAGTCATCATACTATACATACAGAGTAGAGAAGTGCGTCATGTAGAACGCCATACTCATCTACGGCGTCCGTCTATCCACTTCCATGACCCAGGTGACGAAACATAATAACCCCATATAGAGGCCAGCCAAGGACTACAAAAACAGAGCAACAACTGTCTTTTTGGACGCCAAAGATGCAGCAAGAACATGACCACCAACATTAAGGTGTGGTGAGAAGGTAGTGTAATCGTACAGGGTGGAACGCAGAGGGAAGGAAAAAGAGAATAGTGGCGACTCGCTCAGTAGTAATCCCTGGCACTCTTCTGCAGTTCGATCAACCTCCATCCTCGTGTCTCGGGGTTGTTGACGTCTTCTGGTATCCGGGTTACACCAATGGCGTATGTGACTTGCTGGACTTTGTCGTCCATGCCGGAGGCCAGTTCTCCAGACTTGGCGTTGCGGTAGACGTGCACTTCTTGGGTTCTGCAGGTAAGGATGAAGACGGGGATCTCTCCTGGCTCCAGCAGTTTTGCGTTCAGGACATCGACACCACGGATGTCGACAATCTTTCCGTCAGACTTGAGGCCAGCGGCCTGGTATTGTTGCATCAGCGCTGCGTATACTGAGTATTGCGCTGCTGATAGCCACTCCTTCAAGACGGCAATGTCGCCCTTGACGTATGCGTCCAGGACTTCTGGGAGTATGTATTCGCGCATCTCGGTCAGGAAGGGCTCCATTTGGAAGTTGGGGTCCATTTCTCTGAATCGCTTGATGACCATGGCCGTCTCGTTTTCGGCGAAGAAGCCGGTGATGCGGTCGGAGATACTGCGAGCGGTCTCGATGATGGCATTGTCAGACTCCCTGTAGACTGTCTTCATGTTGAAGAAGCCTTGGGCGAGCTTGGAGTTGTCCTTCCATTCTCTCCAGACTTCCTTGTACTTGGCGTCCTTGTGAAGGGTGACGTTTGTGCCAGCACTGCTAGTTGTTAGTCAAAGGTCCTGATCTTCTGAGTGATGTCTTACTTTGGGTCCTCCTCCATTGGGCCCAGAGGTTTGCCGCCAGTTCGCTGGAGTTCGTTGAGCTCGCGCAACTCACGCCTCTTCCTGCGCTCTTCCTTCTCAACCCAGCCACCGTATCTTGACGAGCTGCCATCGTCGATGGTCTCCTTCACAGCTTGGAAGGCTTTGGTCTGTCGCACTGGCCGAGTTGCGTATTCAAGTCCGGTACCAGTAACCCTCGCAGCAGCACGAACACCCTTGACGGGCATAGTGTCCCATGTCCACGCCGCACCGTGACCAACAGCGGATGCCGTCGCCTTCAATGCCTCCGTGGTCTTTGTCTTGGCAGCCTCAGAGATCTGGCCAGCCTTTTGTACGTTTGGGTTCTGCTGGAAGTCGTGCAGCGCACCACCCAACTGCTTTGTACCCTCGTTCCAGTCCTTGGAGGCCTGGAACTCTTGCTTCAAGGTCTCGGTGAAGACCTGCCATGGTGTCTTGTCGCCATGGGGTGGAGGTGGGGGCGCATCCTTCTTCTCTTTCTTCTGGCCCTCTTCGCCCTCCTTCTGTTCACCAGCTTCTTCCTCTCCGTCCTTCTTCTCCTTGGCTTCCTCGCCCTCTTTCTTTGCCTGGTCGCCTGCAGCCTGCTCAGCGGTGCTACCCTCGGAGGCTGTTGACTTGGTGGTGTCAGGCTCTTGGTCCTTTACGTCTTTTTGCTTTTGCGCTTGCTCGTACAGGGCGGGCCGAGAAGAGAAGTGGCGGGCGTATGCGGATGACGTGCGGAAGAGGACATCTTGGGGCAAGAATTCGCTGCGGAGGAAGCGTTGGGAGGAGGGTGTGGATGTGGAAGGTATTGACGTGCGTGTGGAGGAGACTTGCGATGTTCTTGGTAGTGTTGATATCCGTCTATACGCTGCAGCTCTTCCGTATGCGCTTGCAGGCGTAGCAGCGGCGGGTTGTATGCTCCATCGCGCAGTGGCGGCAAATGTGCTTGCTGTTTGGGGCCTCATGCTCTGGACTTGAAGGCAATTGGATCTGGGTATTAAATTGAAGTAGGACCGGCCCAAGCAGTGAGCGTTGGAAGGTGGGCGCGGCGAAGGTGGGTGAGAAGCATCGCCATCTTTTTCCGAATGCCAAGCCAGACTCGCAACCTTCTGCGACTTTCTAGCAAATCGCTGCATCCCCGAACCTCAATCGGGGCATCTACCGCCTTCAACATGGCCAGCAACACAACTCTACAGACGTTTCGATCCCTCACATGCTCAATTCGCTCATCATGTCGACACACGCAACCCCTGCGACCGTTTTCGCACAGCACACGAGTCCTCGCTGCAACTCCTCCCTCCTTCCGCAAGAGGCCTGAGAAGAGTCTCGACCAGCTGCTCAGCAATGTAGATGAGAACTTCAGTGGCGCGGCCCCCAATCCATACAATTTCATACCCGGCCAAAACCCAAACGACGCTTCTTTCAAGAACCTCGCGCCGCGCGAATGGGACGAAGACGACAAACACAAACTCCACGTTTACGCCACCAAGCACAACACACACCTGTGTCTGACACAGCCAAACCGAAACCCACTGATTTCGGTATCTTGCGGGAACATCGGCTTCAGGAAAGCGGGGCGCGGAACATACGATGCAGCCTATCAATTGGCCGCCTTCCTCATGAACCGAATCCAGGACAAGGGCTTGCTGCCGCAGATTCAGAAGTTGGAGTTGATATACAGAGGGTTTGGCGCAGGCAGAGAGGCAGTCACAAAGGCGATATTGGGTGCTGAGGGAAAGAGGATACGGCCGCTGATTGTGAAGCTGGCCGACTCGACGAGATTGAAGTTTGGTGGTACAAGGAGCAAGAAGCCGAGGAGATTGGGTTAGAGACTGCTTGTCGAGCACATAGGAGCGGAAAGCAGATGAAGTGTACGATGCTAGTGGGGTTCACCGGCGTCATGGGTAGCGGCTTTCAGCACTCAGAGGCATATATCACAAGAGCAGTGTATGGTGACCAGGGCATATCAGACCAATTCAAGAGTCATGTCAAATTTTTCGGCAATGGTGCCCTTTCAGCGGGTGGAATAGTCCGACCACTAGAATCCGTTTCCGCGATGTTGACAAGCCTGGGTGCAAGATTTCCAGCCTCATACCTAATAGGCCCTCTTGCGCTTCCTTGATCACCACGACTACTTCCAGCAGAATAGCCCGCGTTTTCCCAGCCCCTTGCTTCCTCAGTTGTCCGATGGCGTTCTCGTTCTCGATCATGACGTAGCATCGACGCTCCTTCGTCTTCGAACTCTTCGTCAAGCAACTCTCCATCAGCAGTATCATAATCCGGTGGCGCTATCCATTCCCGTGGTACAACGCATGGTAGAGCGACGCCGATGCTAGCGGCACGATTCAGATAGCTCGGCGCTGGGCGACCCGTGAGCCTCTCGCAGAGGTAGGACGTGAAGTGGTTGCAGTTCTTCGTGAGGAGGTTGTACGATGTTCCTTGGAACTCGTGTGAGGCCTGTAGTCATTAGCTAGTTTCTTGAATATACATATGTCCTTGCATACCTCTTGTATGATAGCCTCTAGTTCTTCTTCAGGTCGGAAAGAGAAGCCATGTAGGATCGCCTGCTTGAACGTGCCACCCGGTGGTTCTTGCCCAGGCTTCGTCCAGTACACGCCTGTCAAGTCCCGCCGGTCATGTCCGCCGTATGCATATTCCCTGTCGCCAATAACAACACCTGTGTGAAGGAGCGAGCTGCCGATTGCCCAGAGTACGGTTGCGACCTTGCCGGGCGGTAACAGGTCATATACGTGTATGGAGACTTCGGTTCTCTGCAGCGACAGCGTGGTCCTATGTTGGCTGGAACTTTTGCGCGACGGTTTGGGACGGGTAGAGGATGACATTGTCTATGGTTGTAGTGATGTATGTACAATCGAGTGTGGTATGTATTGGGGTAGGTCTCTACGTCGGTACCGAATAAGAATGGTGGGGTATCATGGACGCTGTTAAGGGACGATGAGTGGTACGAGGTAGTGGTACAATGACGGCAGGGCGGAGGTCAGTGAATGGGGCCAGCCCTGGAGTAATATGCGGAGGGACAGGTGTGGGGGAGGAGATGGAGATGGAGGTCGTTGTAGCCATGACCGCCGGTTTGGCGCTGGAGCACAGCTGGAGACGCGGCTTCGGCGCTTGCTGCTTCGAGCAAGCGCTGCACGGACGCCACCCTAGCCACATAAACTTAAGAAAATTCGATTGGACTCGCTGCACCGTCAATTAACCCAGGAAACGCAGGAGAGCGGCTGCTAGGTAGCTCTCCCACCCCTCTATTTCATCACGCCCCCCACCAGGCCTCTTACCTTTTCTTTCTCTTCTCTGATACCCACTTTTTACAACCCGGCAGCAAGCACTGCCTGCTTTTTCCCAGCCTCTTTGCACTCTTCATCTTCCCCCACCAAATTTTTCCTTTCCTTCACTGCAGCTCGCACCTACGCGTCCGCGCCCAAGAAGAAAAAGATGCCTCCCAAGAAGCAAGTCAAGGAGGAGAAGCTCCCGCTCGGCAGGCCGGGAAACAACCTGAAGACTGGTATCGTGAGTGAGAGCCCTCCGTAGCTGGTCTTGTCGCGTTCTCACATTAACAGTGATTGCCAGGTTGGCCTAGCGAACGTCGGCAAGTCGACGCTCTTCCAAGCCATCACCAAGTGCTCCCTTGGTAACCCCGCCAACTTCCCATATGCCACCATCGACCCAGAAGAGTCGCGCGTCATTGTCCCAGATGAGCGCTTCGACTGGCTAGTGGAGCACTACAAGCCCAAGTCGGTCGTACCTGCCCACTTGACCATCTACGATATCGCTGGTCTCACGCGCGGTGCTTCCACTGGTGCTGGTCTCGGTAATGCCTTCTTGTCGCACATCCGCGCCGTCGATGCCATCTTCCAAGTCGTCCGATGCTTCGACGACGCCGAGATTATCCACGTTGAGGGTGACGTCGACCCCATCCGTGACTTGGACATCATCGCCGAGGAGCTGCGCCTGAAGGACATTGAGTTCACCGAGAAGGCACACGCTGCGCTTGTCAAGGAGACAAGGAGAGGCGGTCAGAGTCTGGAGATGAAGAAGCTCAAGGAAGAGCAAGCCACAGTTGAGAAGGTCCTCGAAATGCTCAAGGACGGCAAGGATGTCCGGAAGGGCAACTGGTCCCCCAAAGAGGTATGTACATCTCACTTCCTTTCCCTGCACACTCTGTTACAAGATGACAAAGAGCGATTGCTCTATAATCCCAGCTCTCTGATGGCCCATTAACGCTGGGCTATTCTGAAGTGAAGTCCTTCTCTGATTAACAACACCCCAACCTCGTTACCTACATGGAATACCTTTCGCAAGCTCGTACTAACAGTTTGCTAGGTCGAGCACATCAACCCTCTCTTCCTCCTCTCCGCTAAGCCCGTCGTCACTCTTGTCAACCTGAGCGAGAAGGACTACATCCGCCAGAAGAACAAGCATCTCCCCAAGATCGCCGAGTGGGTCAAGACCAACGCCCCCGGTGACCCAATCATCCCCATCTCCGTACAACTCGAGGAGCGCATCGCCGTCATGTCTGACGAGGAGGCCGCTGAAGAGCTCAAGAACCTCGGTACCAAGTCGGCGCTGCCCAAGGCCATTCAGGTCATGCGCAAGGCCCTTCAACTTGGTAGCTTCTTCACAACCGGTACCGACGAAGTCCGGCAATGGACAATAAGGACTGGCACCAAGGCGCCACAAGCTGCTGGTGTCATTCACGGTGACTTCGAGAAGACCTTCATTCAGGCAATCGTATACAACTACGCGGTACTGAGGGAAGAGGGTGATGAAGCCACTTGCAAGGCAAAGGGCAAGATCATGACCAAGGGCAAGGACTACGTTGTCGAGGATGGTGATATCCTCCTCATCAAGGCTGGTGCCGCGAAGGCATAGACAGCTTGATGAGTCTTGGTTATGTGTGTATGTGTTTATGATCTACATGCGCGTCTTATGATGAGCTATATGAAAAGCAGCTAGACTGCCCTGAATGAATGAGAATAAACATGACCACGAACAAATCAACTTTTCCCCATGCTGTGATATGTGACTACTCTTCTATTCCAACATGTTACGCAAAGCTGGAAGACTATTCAGTAGAAGCCTTTACTCAGCTCCTTCTCACCCCTCTGCCAGTCTGCCTACTTCGCCTTTCCCTTCGTCTCAACAAGCATCCAGCTATTCCCACAGACGCAGTGTTTACTCAACCCGAGCAAGTACTGAGAATGCGCAGGAGTGTAACCCGGCAACCCCGGCACAACATCCTCCATACAAGCACCACACCTCGTACACTGCTTGAGCAAATTTTTCTTCTTCCTGCCCTCCCCATTCGCCCCCGCACTCTGGATACTATCACTCCTTGACCTGTTCCCGCCACCCGTCGCCGACCCCACAGGATGCGTCCACGTGCCCGTCCCCCGAATAATCATCTTCTGACACACATCCACCACATGCGTGTCGTGCCAGTACCTTGCGCGCTTTGAGTCCGTGAACCCTAACCACGTGGTATCGAAGAACATGAGTCTACCCATGTCGAGCTTGTCCGCGAGGCAAACTTGCTGCGTCGTGCTCTTCCAGAGGTAATCCGTAACGAGGCGTTTAGCGACAGGGAAGAGGATGTCTGGGATTTTCCCGAGGAGTAGTTCGCGCTCGATGCTGTTGCGTTGCATGTCCGTCAAATTGCGTTGCTTGTACGTGCCGCGGACGTGGCTCTGTGTCTCGGTGAGCAGCTGTTCGTAGTAGCGGTAATCGAACGGGAGTTCTGTTATAGCAGCATAAAGAGGAGAGTAGAGCTTTTTCGCTTCAGGCGTCTGGGGCGGCGCATTGGGATTCCCGGCTGCGGAATTGGGCAGCGTGACGTAGGCTGCTGCGCTGCGCGAGAGCCACGCAATAGGTTGGAACCAGAGTTTCATCATGGCGCGGGGGAAGGCGGACAGGATGAGGAGGAGCGCGGGTTTGTTGAGCTCACGGA